GAAGGCCAACCAAAGTAGTTTCGCTTTCACAACGAAACACACAGTGCATTCACGACATGGCGGTGGCGGCAACAACAATACTACAGCGAGAATAAAAGTTACGCCTTCTTTCTTTGCGCGAACATTTGGGCGGCGTTATGCAAATCTTCCCACATCGTGACGTAGACATGTGGGGGCGTGTTAGAACGAGCCGTTTTAGGTAGGCGTGGTTGACTCTTAACTTTTATAAAGAATATCTCTTTGGATTTGAGACTTTAGTCTTTGCAACTTTACAGATCTTCTTTATGCACCAAGAGCTTGTAACACTTCAAAGAGAAAGGAAAAATTGAAATCGCATCATATGACCCCTTTAAGTAACTAACAAATTAATTTGAAAACTTTCTGTGAGACGCAATTTCACAAACAGCGTGAGTAAATTACTGCACGCTCTCTCGCTTTACCTGTCAGAATGTGCAAATGGCTTCAAATCACCACACTGCGTCTGCACTAAGAGAGCTGCACGCTGCAGAGTTGACACAGACAGGATTGTCCCTTGCACAATTGAGGCAGTGTCGCATCATCACTAAAGTTTATAATTTGCATTTCTTTTTAAGTCTTACCAGTGTTTAAACCATTCAGCACTCGTGCTCTCCTAGAGACGGTACGCACCGCTCATGCACATTGAAAGCGCAGACACATAAGGCCGCCTTACATACAGCTCACAAAATCAGGCTTGTGCAGTGTGTACGCTATTGTCAGGGTTCCCACTCTTTTTCCAGCGATCATTTTCCAGGACTTCGAGGACTTTTTCAAGACATTTTTTATTTAATTACGGCGGGAATAAAAGACAAGGATCGTGCCCTAAAGTAGATATTCCTCTCTCCAGAAGTCTTTAAAAACATAGCCTACAGTTTAAGGCCGTGACTTAACCATAAAATCAGCTCTCTAATATGAGCTTTTAATTATACATTACAACAAATTATTTTCAGAACCAATTTCAGTACCATAGCCAGAAAATGTTTAAGAATTTTATTTAACTATTTGAAAATAAAAATAAATTAAATTAGTTCATTATTAATGCTAATAATAATATTAAAGAAAATAATATTTTAAAACATTGACATGTATCCTTCAAATATTTATCAATTAAGTATTGCTTTAATAGGGTCAAGTGAAAAATGAGTGGATTCTGACTTAAACCTCTGTTTGGCCATTCGATCGCTCTTCACAGAAAGCGATATAAATTTGCACGGAAGCGTTTGAACTCTGCCTATCAGCGAGTACTGAACTGAGTCTGTACTTGTTACTACCAGTGCTGCAGAAAGGCCGGTATTGTTACATTTTAAAAATTTCAGTATCGACTTGGTACTAAACTACTAATAGCCTACTTTTGACAATAATCAAAATTATTAGTTAACAAGTTACTGAATTAATGTTAACAAAGCTGCTTTCCACTTTACTACAAACATTCATCACAAGACTAAACAGCGTCATTCAAAATTCTTCTCTTAAAGTTGACCACTGGATAGAACGTTAGAAAACACATCAATGCTCACACTGTCAAAAGTCTGTAGTGATGCACCAATCTTGATTTTTCATGGCTGACTCCAATCCCGATTTAATATTTATTTTATTGTTTAAAGCAAGAGATAAAATAGAATTAAAATATGATTTCATGAACAAGATGTTTTTTGCTCTATCGCAGGCAGTACTCTCTGTAGCCATTTAAAATTAGAGGCAAACACTGCATTTTAATGACGATCCAAACAAAGATGCTGCATGCATGATTTCTGATTTAATTTAGATTAAATTAGATGTAATTTCAAAATCCGAAGCAAAAACAGAATGGTCTGACTTCAGCTTAAAACAATCTGAATGCAACAAAAACAGCAGATGGGCTGAATTACACGCAGATTCACTCTCTGACAGCAGGTGGCGCTTATCTGTAAACAAAGCAGCTGCCTTATAAACACTACTTTAGTATGCATTATAGAGAGGCAAATGAAAAGAAAATACCATCTAAACTTTTCTGAAAACGGTCGGTTCTTGGCTAAAGGAAAGCACAAGTAGGCCTACATTTTTTAAATAAAAATTTTCCAGGTCGACAACAAAATTTTTGACATTTTCTCTCATTTTCCATGTGTTTTCCAGGACTGGAAAATTAGGCATCAATTTTCCAGGTTTTCCAGGACACGTGGGAACCCTGATTGTTCAGCAATTGCACCATTGTAAAAACAAAAATGCACTGCATGATCTCTCTCATGCTTCACAACTGGAGCTGCTTTTAGCAGGTGTGCTGGTGTTTGGCAGAGATGAGGACTGTTTTCTACAAAAACTTTGATGCACATCGTCTCAGTTTATTACATCAACATAACGAATGATGTGATCGGAAAATAATCAGGAAAAAAAGGCATTACATGCAAATTTTTAAATCATTACAAGGAAATTTGTATAGTCGCCAGTGACGATCTCAGCAAAAATATCACTTGCAAATTAATATTTTTGGTCGCAAATGCGACCGTTTCAGGTGCAGTCTGGAGCCTTGTACTTAATTAAAAAAAAAGGCTTCAAAAAGATCGGTTTCCTATACTGCTTCCTGTAACCGACTATCGGTAATCAGCTCCAAAAATCCTAATCGGAGCACCCTTATCAAAAAAATCAAAGTTTGCTGCAAAAACAAGACAATAGGAAACAGAATATCAAAAAGCAGCATCCACATCCATTTAGTGCATCATCCTCACTTTGTCAACTCACCGATCTGAGACAACCTTGCAAATGTGCAAGAACTATATTTGGATCCCCCCTCCGAACACAAGTCTTAATAAGGAATAGAGGTTCATTTATAACCGTGGGCGAGTCTTCCCCAGTGGACGCTGTGACGGGCGGATTCAGAACAAGCTTTCGCTCAGCACGGTAAATGAGAAAAGCACCTCTGCTTCCACGGCTCTACAATAGGGTTTATGTTCCACAATAATGGGGCATTTGTCTTGAGCACTACTGTACCACCACACACAGCCTCCCCTGCCCACTACCCTCCAACAACCAGATCATTCAGGATGACTGGAAGTGTCAGCAGATCCGGACTGAGGGCTACACAGCCAGACAGGAAACAGTCAAGGCTGAATGGAAGTGCAGGAGCTGACCTTTCTTCTACCCCATATAATGGCATCCACAGACAATGCTTAAACAGCCTCCATTCTCTCTGATCAAAATAAGTGGCCCTGGGTTCTAATCTACTGTAATAAAATAACGCCGATTTCAGTAATAACATTGCCATTTTGCATTTTGTTAATGGTGAAACAGAAACCGCCAGCATTTAATTAAATTCAAAAGGTTTTCAAACAAACCATTGTCTTTAGAGGCAAAGATGTAAAAAAAAATATATAGATCACGATGGTCTACTAGTTCTCCAACAACTGATAGCCACTAGTAATTAGTAACATCTAGTTACAGCGTCTAACTGTCTTGTAATAAAAAATAATAATTAAATATTTATTGTTTAATTTAAATGTTTATTTAAATTTTGTAAAAAATAATATAGTTAAATGATTTTATAATTCAATATAATAATTATTTAATTATTATTAAGACTATTTTACATTTTGTTACTTTTGAGTTTGCCATGAATAGAGCTTTTGATGCTGAATTGCTGG